CGTCCGTCCGTCCGTCCGTCCGTCCGTCCGTCCGTCCGTCCGTCCGTCCGTCCGTCCGTCCGTCCGTCCGTCCGTCCGTCCGTCCGTCCGCCCCTCCCTCCGTCCGTTCGTCCATCCCTCAATCCATCCATCCATCCATCCATCCATCCATCCATCCATCCATCCATCCATCCATCCATCCATCCATTCCTCCATACATCTATCCATCCATTCATTTATTTATTTATTTGTTCATTCGTCCATGCATGCATCAATCTATCTTTCTACCTTTGAGTAAACATGTGGATATGATAAAAATGTCATAACGTGGTGGTATCCAGGCACCCTGTACTATAATTAAACTGTAAGCAATTATTATTACTAGAGATCTGCGGAAACCACTATCCCGAAACCTCTAAATTAAATTTAAATTAAAGTTTGCTTTGTTCTCAGGTAATAACCCCTTACTACGATAGTAAGTTTTGTCACAATTCTGTATTCCACGAGTCTGTGTATTATTATATAATAATATATATATTCACAGCTCTTGACGCGAACACTAGTGGTACGTTAAAAACAGTGATCAATCGTGGCGCATTAAAAGGTATGTGAGAATACTGACTCTCAGCAGTGGAAGTATAGCGTACTAGCGAAGGTTAAATAATCGAAAAAATAAAAAATAAAATTGTATATAATTCTAACTGAATTTCCAGTCGTTGCAATTCATGAGTGCAGGAATCATTTTCACATAATTTGATAAACCAGTTGGAGAAAGTGAACGCTTTATTATACGCATTGCCTTCTCTGAAGCTGAATTCTTTGTCATTATATCTAGAAAGAGCTCTGCTAAATTCACATTAATGCTTTCCAGCCGGAAAATTATATAAAAAATTGAAATGGAAACATGTCAGAAGACTGATATAATATGCAGAGCTGAGAACTATTATTTAGAATCAGAATGGAGAAATATGCATGGCGAAACGAACATGTCCTTAATGTGGTGCCGTTTATGCAGTACTTGGCAATTCGATAGCCAGCTAAAAGGAAATGGAAGAAAGGAAAGGTAGAAGAAAAATAATTGGAAATTTAGCATAAAAAATAGATAATATCGTGCAACAGAACGTTTACCTATCCGTCTGAACAAAGAAATCACGACAGGAATTCATTATGAAATAACACCAAATCACGTGACTCGTCAACTTGAAAAGCATCACGGTTAATTATCAGCTTCAATTCAAGAAAATAAACTGTTCATCATGTGCGACAGTGTCATTTTATTCCCTTTCCTATCCTATACCATCCTTGACCGTTTACTTTATTGGATAGAGACATATATACGTTTCATCTCGAAGTCACATCTTCAATATAGGTCACGGTATACACCAATATACCGCATCGCATACTCTGCAATTTATGTCCCGTTACACGTGGGCCGGTTGTATAATATGCACGAATGCGTGCTAGGTGCGCTTTGTGAAGTGTGCTGTGAATCTGGCGCGTGCATGCTGTGAATCTGTGATTAGTTGATGCGCAGTAGTGGCCTTAGGAACGAGCTCTCAGCGTTACTGCATGTGCCACTCCCATGGCAAACGTTCATCGTAAAGGGGAATCATTGATGTTCGTCCACTCTCCTGATTCTAATGATAGGCCTTTGTGAGGTAACTCCTTTACAGGAGGACAGCCGGTGAGTAAGCCACTCATATTTCATGTAATTATGAAGATTAGCGCCATTCTAGCCAAAAACCTACTATGGCCTATGTAGCATTAATAAAAATTGTTTTCCCTAAAAAAACATCTCGATTAGCAATATAACTCCTGTCTTTGCACGTCGATGGCGAAAATTCGCGTTTAAAATTCGGTCGACTTGTAAAATCTACCACGCATCACGAGACAAAATATGGTACATACATGTCGTTTGCGAATTATGTAACTTGTTCATATTCGTAAGAATGGTGTAGCATTTCCTGTGGAGATGTATAGATAGTTTTATGGCATATCCTATCATAGTTATATCAGTCTCCCGGGCTGTTGAGAACCGTCGTGAGGTATAGGCTCCTTTACTAGGTATGGATGGTGATTTTTGTTTAAACAGTGAACATTATTCTGTCACGCACTCACAACTAATGAAATGTCTATTAGTTGCTATGTTAATACGTTACTTATGTATAACTATGTATGTTTATACGATAAATATTGACTTGTAAAACTGGCTTGCCTGTGATAACATAGCGCTATATAGGCCTATCATTGTAAAAGTTTGGAAGTCGTGAAATGGGAAGTTGATTAATTCGGTTTGACTTGTTGTAAGTAGGTCTAAAGTCATTTATTTTTATACAATTTAACGCAAGGTGAACGCTTAAGGTAAAGGATAGAATGGTATTATGGAGCTTATGCTATTTAGTTAACAGCGGAGAGTTTGTGTATTGGCCTACATCTACTGGAAATATATATTTTGCCGTATAGGCTGAAAAAAGTGGGTACCGTCTGTGTGTGTGTGTGTGTGTGTGTGTGTGTGTGTGTGTGTGTGTGTGTGTGTGTGTGTATGTGTGTGTATCCTGTCTCACAAAACTCATTTTGTAAACGCAATACTCAATTTCTGTCAATCCTGTTCCACAAAACTCGATTTTGGTTGCCCAAATTATGGCACACGCCATGTAAGAAGAGGCTACATTGGTCAGAAACTGGCTGGAGAAATGTGTCACAGGTCGCCATCATGTTTCTTTAACTTTAGTGACCCATTTCGTTCCAGCCCAGTTTCTGACCATCGTAGGCCCTTCTTACAATGCGATGTGCCAAAATTTGGCAACAAAAATCGAGTTTTGTGAACAGGATTGAAGAATTGAGTTTTGTGGAACAGGATTGACAGAATTGAGTTTTGTGGACGAGGATTGATAGAATTTGAGTTTTGTGTTCACAAAATTGAGTTTTGTGGACAGGATTGACAGAATTGAGTTTTGTGTTCACAAAATTGAGTTTTGTAAAACAGGATTGACAGAATTGGTTTTGTGTTCACAAAATTGACTTTTGTGAGACAGAATAGAGTTTTGTGCACAAAGAGTGAGTTTTGAGACAGAATTGAGCCCTGTCCTGCATGGCGCCCCGTAGGTACTGCATGCAAGGATTGAACAAGCCGAGGCAGCTTTTGGTTAGTCAATCTAATAAAAAAAATTGCACAGAACACTTCTTTGATAGCTACCCTTACGGATATATGGGAATGCCGTTTTAATATTAAAGAATCACGGTTTTCTGTTCATACCACGAAGCAAATAAATATGCGCAACTTTCTTAAAGTTATTCTGATCTGCAAATAGCAAAATTAATTTATGAATCAATTATTATATCGT